TGCTCTTCCGATCTTATGTATGTGTGTATGCATGTATGTATGTATGTATGTATGTATGTATGTATGTATGTACATATGTACGTATACGTATGTACGCATGCATGCTATACTGGCACTCATCGCTTCAAGCCCCCTACCTCCAGCTTCAAACATCGAATTCATCAATGACTCAGGTCTCCTATTTTATCATGTTGGGGTCCAGGGCTCTGGTGGTTTGTGCCTCCGCGAGGAGTCTTAGGAATCAGATTGGCTGTTCAGGGGTTCAGGCTTGCAGGGACTAGGACTTCAGGGTGTGAGGGACTGGGCCTCAGGATGTCGATTGAGGTGTCGGGTTCCAGGGTTTAGGGTTCATAAAGTCTTGTGAGCTTTTAGAATTGGAATTGGACAGTTCCGGAGTTGCTTACAAGGCTGGCTGTGGATCGTGGACCCCATCGATGGCACCACCAATTTTGCAGCTGGACAACCGCAGCGTGGCATGCATTGAATGAGGCTTTTCCTAAAGGTTGGTTTCGGGTCTGGCGTTACGATGCACACTCGGGTAACAAGTCGCGTTTCATCGTCCATTTCTGTTTCCGTTTGCTTTCCGTTTGGCCGTTGCCTTCCGTTGTCGCTTCCTTGCCGTTATCGGTGTTTGGTTTTCGGGGTTCCGTTGTCAATGTCACTTCCGTTCTGCTTTTCCATAACTTAGTAACGGCACCGGGAGCGCAATTCCCCGGCACCCGCGCACCGCGTAATCCAAATCAGAAACAGTAGCAGAACACAACGCACCCCAAAAATCAAACACGAAAGCGGGAACGGACCGACACACTCAAAATCCAGAACAGAACCGGACACGGAAAACCCGGAACTCATGTCGTTTTCCGTTTCCGGTGGGTGCCGGTTTTCCGTTCCCGGTTTCGTTTTGGGATTAGGGGTTCCACGCTCTCCCTTTCGGGTTCCGTTTCCAAATGCACCAGTGACAAGCAGAAGCCGAAACAGAAGTGCTCGCAGGAAGGGAAATCAGATCGGGCGAGTCAGCGGAAAGAAATCCCGAACCGAACCAGACGGGGAGTGTAAACAGAAGGGAACTCCCAAACAGAACCGCAAGCCGAAAGAAGCGGAGTCAGGAACTGAAACATGCTTGGACCACTATTTGCCGACAATTGGCAGTACAAGTCCAGTGTGTAGGCCCAAACCTCAGCTGCATAACCACCGAGCCAATAGCTGCAACCCAAGCTGCCGCGCGCAACCAGAATGATGTATGTTTAAGCAGGCTAAGCTCCTTTCATAGAGGGTGCTTCGGGTTTCGATGTACCACCCATAAAGGGTGTTCGGCTTGCAGACCTGCTATGGGATCGGCGTATCAGCGATGCTTGCGGTTTTCGAGTATGCTTTTGGCTTAGTTGAATGTTGGTCCCCAGGCTTTTCGGCTTCTTCGTGGTGCATTTTGGGATCTAGAGTTTCCGATTTAGGCTCTTACATGCACTTCCGATTCAGCCTCTTAGACGCAGGACAGAGTTTGCTGAACCCTAAACTCCAAACCCTACACCCCAAACCCCTAAACCACTAAACCTCAGCCGTAACTCCCGGAGTCCTACACCCTAAAGCCCCAACAGGCAGAAAACCCGGAAGTCGAAGATCCTAAGAGCCTACCCTGGAAGCCCAGAAAGTTGGAACATGGACTTAGGTTTAGAATTTAGGGTTTAGGGTTTAGGGTTTAGGATGAAGAGTGCTGGGATCCCCTATGCTTTACCTCAAGGGCACGAGGATAACGATGTTCCTTCTACTGTATAGGGCTTAGTGTTTAGAGTTTAGGGCTTTGGGTTTAGGGGTTTAGGGTTTAGAAGTTTAGGGGGTTTCAGTTTTTAGGGTTTAGGGATCCGGGCTTAGGGCTTTGTGTTTAGGGGTCGAGGGTTTAGGGCTTCTAGGGTTTAGGGCTTAGGGGTCTAGGGGTTTAGGGTTTAGGGCTTAGGGGTCTAGGGGTTTAGGGTTTAGGGCTTAGGGTATAGGGCTTTAGGGTTTGGTGTTTATAGGGCTTT